CTGGGGCAGCTAATGGAAATGAGGAGAGAAGCAGATGAATTCGAAACGTATTTTAGAGGCAGGTTAGAGTTTCCTTTCTTCCTCCCTTGTCTGGTTTCATCCTCAAGCTGATGACCAGGTAATTGGGACCATGTTCAAGAAGAAGTCAGCGCTAAAGTGGCTGACTTTTACGCTAGTTTGCAAGAGGCAAGAGAGAAGCCTGCATTTCTGCGGTAGCAGCCACAATTATGGAACCAAAAAGCTGGCTGGACTGAACTCCAGTGCATCCTAGCCAGGAGTCAGGGGTACTGGCAGCCTCGGAGCTTGTACTTCTCAGGCTTTGCACAGAACCGGTCATGAGATCACCACCACCATCCCATCCCCAATAGAACATAGCCAGGACTCACAGGCCATCATTAAAATCAGTGGCCGTGTTTCGCCTGAATGGGAGGAGACAGCTGGAGCCAGCTGGCCTTCCCACATGGATCCCATGAAAGAATGAAGCCACCGCTGTGTCCCCCAGGGAGCTGCTCTGAGCGGGTGGGAACCTGAACTTGATCGGTCCCTCTAATTCACGTCCCACCAAGACAAGAGGAGTCGCGCTGGTGGCGACATTCATTCATTGCCCGGGTTATTGTCAATTCTTGAGATCCCACGCTGGTACAAAGTTCAGAGTGACCTGCTTACTTTTTAACCAGTGCTTCTTTGATCTTATGTATTGATTCATCAGATTGTTTAAAATTAAAGTGCCACCACAAGTCAAATCCTTTTCTTGGGAGTTTAAATTTTATAGACTCATGTGACTGACATGGTAGCAGGAGATCCAGCTTTGGTGACTAAATGAGGGCCCAGGTTTCTGGATGAATTTTGGTTCACACTACAGCTCCTCGCTTAATTAGCTCTATGAGCTAAGGCAGGGGTCGGCAAACTGCGGCTCACGAGCCACCTGCAGCTCTTTGGGTACATACGTGTGGCTCTGAAGTAACATTGAAAATGAAAATAAAACTATCATAGTTTCATTTATAAAATGTCTAAAGGATATTATTCACAAAATGGCGATTTCATTTGTTTTATGGCTCTCAAGTAATTTTTAAATTGTTGTGAGGGACAGGATTGGCTCTTCTGTCTCAAAAGTTTGCCGACCCCTGTTCGAGGGCACATTGCCAAAACTGCCTGAGCTTCATTTTTCTCTTCTGCAGCTCATAATAGCACCCACTTCCCAGGGTCATGCAAGTAGATGGAGTTAATATATGTGAAACAGTTAGAACAGGACCAGGCATACAGCAGGTGCTCAATAAATGGTGGTCAATATCATTATTTAAGATTTAGACTCATTCCAGATATATCTATGTATCTATATATCTATGTCTATATCTATATCTACATCTATCTATCTATCTATCTATCTATCTATCTATCTATATATATCATTACCACTTAAGCTGCATTCTCCAATAAGCCCCACATGACTACTGAGCACCAAACTGTAGCTAGTCTGAGCTGAAAGGTGCTGTAAACATCAAATACATATCAAATTTTGAGGACGTGGCATGACAAAAAAGATTATTAAAATTTCATTAATTAGTTTTTATATTGATTACATGTTGAAATGATGATATTTGGGGGTATGGATATCCAGTTAACTAGCACACACAACTAACGAACATTAATTTCATCAGTTCTTTTTTTTTTCAATGTGGCCACTAGAAAAATTTGAATTGTATACGTGACCTCACATTTCTATTTCTTTTCGATAGCACTGGTCTGAAGGCCTGATTTAAGAAGTAGAAATGGTTAAGAAATGGGAATAGTACGGATTTTGCAGTCAGAAAGATTAGGGGCAGTTGTCTGGGTAGCATCAATCTCAGGCTATTAGGGAAGTCACTTAACCCTCCTGCACTTCAGCTTTCTCATCTGTAAAACGGGAACAAGAATCTCTACCACAAAAGGTGGTTTTTGAGGCTTAACCAGGATCATATATGGGAAGTGCTTAGCTCAGTGCTAGGACCAAATAGGTGCTCAGACCAAAACGACAGTTCTAGATTTTGTCACATGTGCTAGGGGTATTTAGTATTCAGAAAAGTGGGCTGAGCAGACCCTAAAGATGAATTAGTAACAATAACTCTCCTTGGTTCAGCAAGATGACTTTGGCATGCTGTTTTCACCACCATCGCCACATTTGACCTTCACAGTGACCTTGGAAGATCTCGTCAGCCCCTTATAGAGCTGGGGAGACTGAGGCCCAGGAGCCGTTTGAGGTCTGAGCAAGAGCTAGAGCCAGGCATTTTCCTATCAGCCCTGTTGTGTTCTCCTGAAACTTGTCTGCCTCCAGGGTGTGTTTCAGTTTTTGCTTCACCCCCTGGTTAGACGGCTTCCATAGTCATGCCCTGAACAAGCGAGAAGACCAACACCTAGAACAACCCCGCAGCCTGCAGGGCTGACCTTGCCCGATAGTGCTGTGCTGTGTATTAGCTAAGGAGACTTGAAAGGCAAGAAAGGCATTCCTGGGCCTCTCCTCTGTCACACTTGTGACAGAGAAGAGGCAGCTCATAAAGCCATGTTCCCTGGACACCTTGGTACCCACTTATGTCTCAACCCAACTTGAAGCCCAAGTATAAGGGACACAGGAGACATTGCATCATACATGCTCCTTCCCAACTTCTTTAACTTAATACACTAAGCACTTTATTATATCACTACGTAAAGCACAACGTCACTCTTTTTGTTGGAGGAATGTTATTCTGTATTGTGGGTGTGCCAAAACATGGTTAGCCATTTAGGTTGCTTTCAGTTTATGTCAATGAGACAAACTCCTTCGGTAGACTTACGCTGAGAAAAAATGGTCAGTGCATTTAAAATGTATAGATTTTGATAAATTGCTCTCCAAGAGTTGTATAAATGTACGCCCCCACAGGCAATGTATGAGGCGCCAGTTCCCCCCACACCATCTGCATGGCCAGGTGTTTCATGATCATAAGTCAGTGTGGAGAAAGCAGACGGAAGGTGACATGGCAGCTGGGAGACCGGTCAGGAGATTGGGCAGCTGTCCAGCTAAGAAGTGATGGGTACCTGAATAGGACAAGAAAGAGAGAGGAGAGGAAGACGACGGACTAGAGCTGGTGTGGGAGAAAAATCCTGGAGCGTGGTAGTGAGTGAAGGTAATGGGAGGAAGGAATCAAGGATGGGTCTTAGGTTTCTGTCTGGAACAAATGGGTAGACAAGTGGTTCTGTTGACTGAGAGGGAACATGGGTAGTGACAGGAAAAGGTTGGTTTTAGCTGAGAACATATTGAGCTTAATATGCAGGATGTCCTATTGGGGGTATCTACTGGACCAGGGAGGAAGGTTTGGGGATGGTGAATCAATCATGGAAACCATGAGAGTTCATGAGATTTCCCAGCAATGCATGGATGGATGGATGGGTAGATGAGTAATTGGATGGATGGGTGGATGGATGGACGGAAGGACGGCCGGATGGATGGATGGATGGGAATGTGTGGGTAGGTGGGTAGGTGGGTGGATGGATGGGTGGATGGATGGACAGATAAATGGGTGGCAAACAAATCTAGATTTTATTCTATTTAGGTTGAACCACATGAAATTGCTATTTTTGTTCAAAAAGGATCAAATACTTAATTTTATGCAGGCTGCAGTATTTGAGAGGGAAGGGTACTGATGTCTGTAATTTACTTTGAAATGCATCAAAAAATAGGATCAATGGATGGATAGAGAGGTAGGTTTGTGATCAATCAAGCATGGTACAAACGTTAAGAGCAGAAGCTAGGCGGTGAGTATGCAGATATTTACTGTCAGATTCAACTTTGCCGTGTATTGGAAATTTCCATAATAAATTCATGGGGAATGTTTTCTAGTGGTCAAATGTTGGCAATTTCACGTGGTTTCACCTAATATTTGGCCAGGAGATTCTCCCAGATTCCCATTCTGTAGCATTAACAGACCTGTAGAATCTCCTTTGGCCTTTTTCTTCCCAGAGTTGAGGGCTGGGGGTTGGTGTTTCTCTCTGCCAGAGTTCAGGTTGAATTGCCCTAATGTGCTGATTACTGTGCTGACTTTGCCGCTCTCTGGCTGGTAATAATTATAGATTTTCTCTGTGATTTGATTCCATTGGTTGCCACAGCAACGGCATAATAGCTCAACTGAAGCGCTGTCACGGTGATTTAGAACCAACATGTCTCTCTTGCAGCCTCCAGTCTGGGTGCCCCCACCCCCTGGCCGTCGTCATGGCAACTGATGAGCTGCATGTGACCAGAAGCTCTGTTTGTCCCCCCCCCTTCCCGCAATTCCCCTTCCTTATCTTGTGACCATTCCCACTTCTTCTTCTGGGCCTCCTGTGGACAGGCTTGACCCAAGCTTGGGTTATGGGGGGGGGATTATTGGGGGGGCTAGATTAATCAATTCCCCAAGCCCCCCCAGGGTGGCAGATGGATGATCCAAGCCAGAGCTGCCCCTCTTCCCCCCGGAGGTCTTGAGGATGAGTCGCGTCCCTCAGAACCCCTTCATGACTGACCGTCATAGGCTGGATCTGCTGCAGCCAACCCACCGCCACCGCCACCAGAGTCCTGGGGAAGCCATTTAGGAATCCAAACCATCAGGTCTCTGCTTTGTAGCTTCAGCCGTTTCTGAGCCTCTTAGAGAAAAATCTAGGAAGGGGCCCCTGGAAGAAGAAAGGGGAGGCAGATAGCCTGTTTCAAAAGGTCCCAGATCATCTCTCCGACTTAAAGCGACCTGGGCTTTAAACCTCTTTTTTAAAATTCCATGTTCTGTTTTTCTCTCTGTTTATCTCTCTTTTTCTGTTTCGTTCTCTTTGTTTCTGTGTGGATTTTTCCTTTTTGTTTCTGCCTGAAAATCAAGCGCTCTCTCTCTCTCTCTCTCTCTCTCTCTCTCTCTCTCTCCCTCTCTCTCTCTCTCCCTCTCTCCCTCTCTCCCTCTCCCCTCCATCCCTCTGCCTCTGACAGTTGCTGGGAACTAGCTGAGCGCATCCTTTTCCCAAATCTGCTTTGCTTCCAAGGACTCTTTTCCTCCCTCTGTGCCTGAGCCCATGTTCTGGGGACAGCCTGGAAGCCTGGAGCCTCTTCCTGAGGGGGAGCTGGGCCCTGGTGGCACCTCTTAGGGTGTCCCTGGGATAGCCAGCCAGTCATGTCTCTGGGACTCTGCAGAATGGCATAGAGGAGGCATTCTAAGCAGACAGAGCCAGGCTTGCTGTGGGATCCTGACAACCAAGCACTGTGAGTGCAGGTGTGTGTGTGTGTCCGTCCTTGTGTATTTGCATGTATCTGCTGGCATGTGGAGGTGTGTTTCAATGTGTGTCAGTGACTGTTATCTGTGATGTTAAGTGTGCAAGTGTGTGTGTGTGTGTGTTGCTTTTGGTCTGAAGGACACACAATCATAAATGACAGATTTTTCTTTTTTGTTGTTGTTGTTAAGATTTTTATTGGG